TTTTTTAAATGGTGAAACTCTAATAGCAATTTACTTACAAATTATGAAATGCATCAAAAGTTTTCCTTTACCTAAGAAATACTTTTTCCCTTCTTACCAAGTTTTATCTTTGGCTTCTAATGACCACTTCTTAAAATCATTATCCGAAAATCTTGAGCCATCCTGTTTCACCAGAACCAAAAATTCAGTAGGTTCATTCAGTTACCTAAGCTTCCTTGGAGAGGATTAATCAGACAGTGTGAGGCTGAGAGTTCACCAGTAAATGAGTCTGAGACTCTTCCCTTAGCTGAATTATAACTGGATTTGAATGCTCTTGAAAGGTAGAGGAAAAAAAAAAATCTTATGATCCGAAGGGTGTGTCAGGGCAGATGAATAAATCTGAGTGAAAATACTCAACTCTGTGGATGTTCTGAAATCCATGAGGTTGGGATAGACTCTCTGATACTCATGATGACCATGGAGAACTAAGAGCATCTATTGCTACTCCTGTCTCCTTCTGCAGAGGCCCATGTCCTAGGCCAACCTAATGACATACCCAAAGCACCATGGAAGACGAAGGCCAGAGGAGATTCTTTATTAGATTATTCCTAAGACTCCATGGACCACTGTGCTTAGATTCGGTAGAAATTTGTGTTTCTTACATGAAGTAGACTTGAACTAACCTGTCTGACCTTGAAGGATATATTAGTCATGTGTTACATAAGGAAAATGAAAAGAAGTCCTAAAATGAGGGCCTCTCTTCATGGAGATGTGTTATTATACAGAAGAAAGGAGACCTTTCCAGTGTTCTTGTTGGATAGCCAAGACATTATTTTTTTTTATTTTATTATTTTATGTTAGTCACCATACAGTACCCCAAAAACCCCATTAGTTTTTGATACAGTGTTCCATGTTTGCATTGTTTGCATATAACACCCAGTGCTCATTGCAATACGTGCCCTCCTTAATACCCATCACCGGGCTAACCCATCCCCCCACTCCCCTCCCCTCTGAAACCCTCAGTTTGTTTCCTGGAATCCATAGTCTCTCATGGTTCGTCTCCCCCTCCGATTCCCCCCCTTCATTTTTCCCTTCCTTCTCCTAACGTCCTCCAGGCTATTCTTTATGTTCCACAAATAAGTGAAACCGTGTGATAATTGTCTTTTTCTGTTTGACTTATTTCACTTAGCATAATCCCTTCCAGTTCCATTTATGTCGATGCAAATGGTGGGTAGTCATCCTTTCTGATGGCTAAGACGTTATTTTTAAAAGGAATGTATGTTTCCTTAAAAAACATGCAAGTGTACATAATAGAATGAAATAAAAATAAATTACTATCCCACCATGCTTAACTTATTCCTTAGAGGCAACCATTGTTAACAGCAGGTTTTAGTTTGCACACAAGATGAAACCATACCTTGCCAGTGTTGCAACTTTCTTTATTCATTAGCAGAATGTCATAACATTACAGCTTACTTCATTCCTTGTAGTGACTGCATACTGAGTCTGTGAATAAACTAAACAACATTATATGAGTGCAACTTCATTGATCCGTCCTTTTCTCTCTGGATAAACCTTTAATGCTGCAATGAACACCCTTGACTTCTATCACTAAGGTCAAGGTTCAGTTTTATGACTGAGTTGATTCTCTCTCCGGATCGAGATGATTTCTTTGCCACTTGGTCCCAAATTTTCTCCCTAATAGTGTTGACCTCTGTCATGTCTGTTAATTAGTAAACATGCGTTAGGAGCCTTTTCTAGGGGTAACGGCCTGCTAGTATTCATTGGGAAAGGTTAATGGTAATAACTTGCCACATCTAAACAACCACCCTGTGCCAGATACCCCATTAGAGGTTTTAATATCATTCTCGGACAAGCCCACTGCTCAGACTAGAGACCGAGGAGGCCTTGGGTGAGATGTAGGGGTCAGGGCCGAGACTGGAATCCCTGGGGATCTGATGTTCAAGCTGTGTGAAGCAGAATCCCCTGGACTGTGCTTATTCTCACCTTTGTTGTGCAATTGAGTCCTCAACAAGCATGTCTTACGGCTCCTCCTCCACATGCTGAGCTGGCCAATAATGGCTGGTCAATGCACAGAGGACCTAAGTGTCCTCGAGGACATTGCAGCTTGGCTGAGGAGCTTGTAAAATCCATAGTCTCGAAAGCATAGAGCTGTGAGGACCTCAGTAGTTACTGTGTGAGCAGAACATCTTTGAACCGGGTCCAAAGTGGCAGTAAAGGAAAGTCATGGAACCACCTGCTGATCTAGCGGGGATCTAGAATTTTTTATGCTAAACTGACAAGACAGAAATTGTTTAGGAAATAGTAACACAAAGTCTGGATTTAGTGTAGAACTGATTAGAAGTGGTGTAACAGAATAATCTGAAGGAGAAGAGGCTATTTCAGGAAAGGTTTGTCTGTGTGGGAAGGAGAACTGAACCAGCATTACAAAATATGTGTCTTTTGGCTGCTATGGGAGAAGATTGGAATGATAGAAGCATAGCATGGTGGGGCAACCCCAAGACCTTTAGAATTCATCTAGAGTTTATGGTAAAGAGGTGAAAACAACAATCATAACTGCCATTTGTCGAGCACTTACTGTTATACCAGATCCCATGCAGAGTGCTCAACATATGATCTCTGTCTTAACCCTCACCAATTGCATTGCCAGGTAGGTATTATTATCCCCGTTTTTCAGATGAAGAAACTGAGTCACAGAAAGCTTTAGTAACTTTCTCAAGGAAATATTGGACTTTCATGAGCTAAAATTTTACATACACTCTCTGTAGAAATCAGAGGCTGGTGATTCTCTGTATTTAAGCCCTGTGAGAGAATATTAAAATGGAGTCCCACTGGAATTCTACCAAGTTCTCACCTCAGATATGAGCTGTAAATAAATGCATTGCCTAATAACCTAAAGAGTAGATACTTCAGAGAGCTTTTGTTAAAGAAAATTCTGTGCCTGTAGGTTAGGGGATAGTAGAGTGGGCTCTAAGCTAAAGCACCAGGTTTAGCTCTACCACTCACACTGTGAGATCTCGGGAAACTCCATTTTTCTGTGCCTTATCTATGAAATGGTGATAATAAAAGAACTAACACCATAGGGGGGTTGTGACTGTTAAAATGAGAGATCACTGCTGTGAAGCACAACAAGATCTGGGAAAGAGTGTGCAAATGATATATTAGCTGTTATTTTATTAAGCAAAATTCCTCTTAACTCACCATATAAACAAGACTAGTGAAAGTCTCTGGATAGTTTTTTCCTTCAGGGAGTGAGTCAAATAGTACAAGCCCAGAGGGAGTAAAACTAAGGCAACCGTTGGAACTTCACCAGTCTGGAATTCAGTACAACACTTGCCATTGGATGGGGATTTCCTTGCTAGGAGAACCCATTTATACACAACCCCTGAGAGTGAGCACCATCTTAAATTTTGCAGCCTCGGCACTTCTAGTCCCAGCCCTTCCCGGCAGGCTGGAACAGATAATTCCTTTAGAAAAGCTCCGGAATTACTCAGAGCTGCTTTCTCTTTGTGCTTTATGTGTCCAAATACAAAATCTCAAATCCAAATTCTAAAGCTCAAATCAAAGTCTTATTTAACAGTGTTTCCCCTGCCTCCATCCTTCTACTTAATAGCCCAGTGTTTCATGAAATGATTCCCCAGACTCAGCACACCTGGATGGGTGATCCCATCTCCAGGAGAGCAGAGCTGCACCCAGGGGGCTCCCTCTACGTCCCTTCTGTTCTGGTTCAGGCAGTGACAGAGCTAATCACATTGCCAGGAATAAAGGTTTACAATAATCCCAAGTCTTGCTTTGTCCCCGGGTCTTCTGGTCCTTTTCCACTGGTGCTTTGTGCTATGATCTCTCCAACTCATTTTGACTTTGTTCATTTCCTCAGACAACTTATCCACTGCTCTTTATATAACATCAGTCAGTATGCTTCCTTTGTTTTTACCTTTGTCCTCTAAGCTTTAAACAGATGCTCTTGACCTCTGTCTCAAGTTTGCCCAGAACTTCTGCTCTTAGTTATGTTTGTGTTTTGTACTTTTATTTCTTTACCAAATGGATCTTGCATTCTTGAGCAGCCATACCTAGGGTTGAACACTCTGGCTTTGTGTTAGCTGGGTATTTGTATTAGCATCCACACTGGGTGGGTCCATGGCATATGGCCGATGGCTGGTCTCATTGAGCTCTCAGCTGGTCACCCCCCCCCAGAAACTCAAGTCCTTCCTCAATAAACAGATCCAAAAGAGATTCCCCACAAGAAAGACCTTTCCGAAAAATACATTCTCAGGTTTTTCAATTAAAAAAAAAACAAGATGTAACATTCACAAGGAAATTACTATATGAATTCTTCATATCATACACAGGTATTACCTATTAAAATTTTTAAGGCAATTTATGCTTTCAAAGTTATCTTTCTGGTTACTGTATTTACCTGTGTATAGGTACATATTTTATTGAGTAAATCTTTAGAACAGTTCTTGTGCTGGAAATCAACCCATCCTCATTCACAAGGGAGTAGAAAATTGAACCCTAAAATATATTCATTGTAGGACCCAGCATAATGGGATAGACCATTATGGTAAGCACGTTGGCTTCAGCTTCAGCAAAAAATCAGGCTTTCTGTTTCTCTGTGTTTGTAAATCTGTGTCCAAGGACTTCTTGGACTTGAGGAGAGCAAAGGAAGATGTTCGTTGGTGGTGGGGTCATGATAGTGGTGGCAGTGTTCGTAGAGACCTGGCCCTGTGGGAGGGGACTGCCTCTTCCCTAGAGGTCTACTTACTTTGCAGCAAACGGTGGGCAGGCGCCATGCTTGTCTGGAGTCCTGTGGTTGCTTTTACTTCGTTTCTAGGTTAACGCCAGAGGCTCCGCACCTTCTCTTTAGAAGCACAGTTCAGTGTTTGATTGAAAGGTCTCATCATTTATAACAAAGGGCATAGCATTTTAAACAATCTTCTAGATTTAATTTGTTGTAGAACCCTTTAACTGGAAAAAGAAAAAAAAGCCTGCCTTTCAGCATGTGTCACCGGAAAGGTGAAAGATGGGAACCTCCAGATAAACGACTCTTGGGGGGTAGTATGTACAAAAATAATCCTGCAGGAAGGGTGCTGAGCTAAAAAAGCTAACTTGCAAGGATTTGTCTCTTTTTCACTCCAGCACATCCTTGTGAGCTCTACTGCCGACCCATAGATGGCCAGTTTTCCGAGAAAATGCTGGATGCTGTCATTGATGGTACCCCTTGCTTTGAAGGTGGCAACAGCAGAAATGTCTGTATTAATGGCATATGTAAGGTATTGGGTATGTTTCCTTAATCTACAACTTTATAAAAATCATGATTTTTATTAATTCAGGAAGTCAGATGTTCTAAGCTTTTGCTTTCATGACATTGGCACGAAAACCTCACATTGGTCTGGTTTTTATATGTGATCTGTGAGACAGGAATTTACAGTGTTGATCAGAGCCAACAGTTTGGAACTGAATGCTTTCCCTCCTGCTGTGGTCTTTCTTTCTTGACTTACTGATGTTTTCTGTGATATCATTTTAGGCATTAGAACAGAGTCAAATTGAAGAAGAAGCAATTTAAAGGAAGAATTGTTAGGAAGAGACGACCCTGATTATTTTTGTGGTATTAAATTATTCATTGGTTACTTGCCAGCAGAGTGCTTAAACTTGAGAAAAAGCTGAAATTAACAATAGTTTGCGTAGTGTTTTGTGCAAAGCATTTTTACATGTAATTCTCCATTGATTACCAACATGATCCACCTTAGGAAGAGAGATGGCATGACAGGTAGTTTTCAGCCAGGTCTTCTGATTTCTGTTTAGCTTTTCCACACTGACTCCATTAATCAACTCCACCTTTTCAGAAATGACTGAGACCTGATTTGTCAGTGCTTTTATATGCAAAACCATTGAAGAACTCTTTTCCGGTGCTTGCCGTTTAGTTTGCAAGGAACTGATGAACAAGTTTTGTGATCCAACACCCAGGCATAAATCTCTGTTTAAAGAAAAGGTGTTTTTAATCAATGAAGGAGAAGTTATATAAAAGTTCTAATTAGCTGTTGGGAAAGCACAATGGTTAGTGCTCAGGCTCTAGAATCTGAACTTAATACCGATGTGTACCAATTGTATAACTCTGTATATTTTGCTGAGACTCAGTTTTCTTTTCTTAAAATTGGAATGTTAATGTAACTTCCTAGTTGGTGTCCAAAAGATTAAAGACAGACATCTATGTTAAGCTCCTAACAGAGCCCCTGACACACAATAAACTTCTAATTCATTTTATTTCCTTTTGTAAATGTTTATCGTAATTTTTTTTCCACTGGACTAAATTGCTGTCATGGAAAGCTCCTGCCCATAAATGTTCACTGCCCCGGAAAGATACATTTATCACCTTGAGGTTGCCTATTGACTTATTCCAATAGTGACCAAAGCATAGGAGGCAACATGACAATTCCCGGGAATGGGTGAGTTACAAGCAAGTCCTAATCATACTCTACATTTGTAAGAACTCAGGCAAAACTCTCTTTCAGACTCATTACTAATCATCACTGTAGCTACAAAGAGCCAGAAGTAATTAATATGTATTGAGGTTAGATCTGTTCTCCAGAGTGGGAAGAGGTTTATCTAGCTAATTCAGGCCAAAACAGCCCCATCACTGTCCAGAGGCAGTGGTTCTCAGGCCTGGCTGCCTAATAGAATCATCTGAAGAGCTTTTAAAAACTAGTGATATCTGGACTCTATCTCAAACCTGTTGATTCAGAACCTCTGGGATTCGGGGCCTGAGCACTGACATTTTAAAAACTTCCCAGGTAATTGTCATATGCAGCTAGGGCTGAGGACCTTAATCACTGAGAAATGAATGCGATGCTAAAATTCTCTGTTAGACCTAAACACCTTTGCAAGCACAGAGACGGTATCTTTAGCGTATGATGGAGAACACAGGTGCTTTGAACAAAACATAAGGGATCTTGGGTATCTCTCTTGACACCAATTAAATCAGCTTAATAGAATAAGCTGGAGTCTCTCAGCTTGACTTCCTCTTTTTGGAAACCAGTTGGGGCTTGTTAGAAGCTGTAATTACCCACTTTCTCTCTTTACCACATTGAGCAAGATTTTAAGCTGAAAAATTATGTCAAATCAAATTTGTCTTAATAGCCTAAATACAATTTACCTTCCAAGGATCTAGGTTGTGGTTATTTTCAGCTTTGTTAGTCTTCTTACTCATTTACTACAGTTTTTTCAAAGGGCATTGAACATATATTGAAATAAAAAGATACACCATCAGAAAAAAATATGTATGCAGTGTCTAATCCATCTTCTTTGTGAATATGAAAATATGTTTGCTTATCTTCACATAAACATTCATTGAATTTGATTTTATTCATATATTCAGCTATTTTGAAATGTTGATATTTGCCATCATTTTGGCCTGTTAGATTTGCAGATTCCATTGTCAAGAGAGTCAGCAGGCCTTGCTCAGAACTGAATTTGTTCTAGGAGGTAAACTGTCTATTGCTGCCCTTCTCCATTTTTTTAAAAAGTTGTACTAAACTCTTAAACTTGTTTATCAAAGATACGAATTTAAACTTAGACTTTTCAGGCTATCTCCCATTTTTGTTTGTTTGTTTTTAATTTTTTTTTAATATTTTATTTATTTATTTGAGAGAGAGAGAGAGCACAAGCTGGGGAAGTGGCAGGCAGAGGGAGAAGCAGGCTTCCTGCTGAGCAGGGAGCCCGATGTGGGCTCAATCCCAGGACCCTGGGATCATGACCTGAGCCGAAGGCAGCTGCTTAACTGACTGAGCCACCCAGGCACCCCTGTTTGTTTTTAATTTTTAAAAAGATTTTATTTTTGAGAGAGAGAGAGAGAGACAGCATGAGAGGGGTGAGGGTCAGAGGGAGAAGCAGACTTCCTGCTGAGCAGGGAGCCTGATGCGGGACTCGATCCTGGGACTCCAGGATCATGACCTGAGCTGAAGGCAGACGCTTAACCAACTGAGCCACCCAGGCACCCCTATCTCCCATTTTTAATCACAAGCAGGACATGGAATAAGTTTGTAAACTTACGGGCAGGTATTCCCACGCCTGCCCCCAGCCCTTTCTCCTGGGAACCAGCTCTTGGTTTCAGGTTCTTCTCTCTCCCCTTTTCTCCCAGTCAGCATGGCTCTGGCTTCACTTCCTTCCCAAGCAGCCCGGATGCCCTGATCTGTCGCATCAGCTGTTCCCACACTTCTCTTAGCCTTTTATCCACCTCTCACCCCAGGACCCTGGACCCGATCAACCCCTTTTTGCTCTTTTTTTTTTTTTTTTTTTTTTAAGATTTTATTTGACAGAGAGAGACACAGTGAGAGAGGGAACACAAGCAGGGGGAGCAGGAGAGGGAGAAGCAGGCTTCCCGATGAGCAGGGAGCCTGATGTGGGGCTCGATCCCAGGACCCTGGGACCATGACCTGAGCTGAAGGCAGACGCTTAACGACTGAGCCACCCAGGCACCCCAACCCCTTTCTGCTCTTAGGCTCAGCCTACTGCATACATCTTAAAATAAAAAATCAACTTTGTGAATCCCAGTTTAGTCCTCCACCTTACGTGATATCTTTCTACCTGTCCTACGTGAGCTCCCCTCTCTCATTTCTCTCAGAAACTGTCCTGAACCTGCTTTGCTCTCTCTCCAGGCCATTTTGGCCATTTCAGTGATTTGTGGAACATCCCCTTATCAGTTTGTCTGGGCCACATCTCTCTCCAGAATGCCAGATCCTAACCTTCCAAGTTATGGTGAGGACAGCCTTTTTATCAAATGGCAGTATCATTTACCTGTTCTTTTCAGGGAAGCGTAACTCTGCCCCGTTATTACACTTGGAGTTTCACCAGCTAAGAACAAGTCTCATCTTAGAACCAGGCAGACTTCCGTTGTCTACCTCTGCCGAGGGGCTATAGGGAGCAGTGATGACATTCTAGGTGGATCGGGTCTTGGCACCAGTTGTTATTTCAGTTCTTCTCCGTCCCCTGAGAATTTACAAAGTAAAACAGTGTTAGCTCATAAGCAAAATGTGAGAATTGCTAAGAATACATATTACGCATTCACTAACAGAGCTGGAGGCCTGGATGAAAGCCTGGAACCTGAAATCTCTAATACTCAAGATAGTGTGCACTTCAGTCCAAATGACAGGGTCAAGAATTGATGATATGCTTCTGACAGGACATAATCATTAGAATAAAAAGGCAATCTACAGAATGAGAAAATATTTGCAACCATATATATGACAAGGGGTTAATATCTAAAATGTGTAAGGAACTCCTACAACTCAATAGCAGAAAAACAACCCGATTAAAAGGATGAGCAAAGGACTTGAATAGATATTTCTCCAGAGAAGACATACAAATGGTATATGAATAGGTGTTTAACACTATTGAACATCGAAATACATATCAAACCCACCATAAGATATCCCCTCACACCTGTTAGGATGGCTGTCTTCAAAAAACCAAAAGATAAGTGTTGCTGAAGATGTGGAAAAATGGCGACCCTACATATTGTTGGTGGGAATGTACAATTGTGCAGCCATTATAGAAAACAATATGGAGGTTTCCTCAAAAAATTAAAAATAAAACCTACCATATGACCCAGACGTGGGACTTCTGGGTGTGTATCCAAAAGAATTGCAATCAGGATCTTGAAGAAATATCTGTACTCCCATGTTCATCCATGTTCATCAAAAGCAGTATTTATAACAGCCAACCTATGAAACCAACCCAAACGTCCATCAACAGATGAGTAGACAAAGAAAATGTGGTATATACCATGTTGTATCCATACTATGGAATATTATTCAGCTTTTAAAAAAAGGGAAATCCTGCCATTGTGACAATAGGGATGAGTCTGGAGGACATTATGCTCAGTGAAACAAGACCCTCACAGAAGAACAAACTCCACATGATTCTACTTACGTGAGAATCTGCAATAGTCAGCCTCACAAAAGCTAAGAATAAAACAGGGATGCCAAGGGCTGAGGGGAGGGAACCGTGGAGAGTTATTGTTCAATGGGTATGAAGTTTCAGTCAGGCAAGATGCCAAGTCCTAGACATCACTGTGGATATGGTGTTTGTGGTTAATATACTGTATAGTACACTTAAAAATTTGTTGAGAGCCTAGATCCCCTGTTAAATGTTCTTAGCACACACACAGAAAGAGTCACAAGGGAGCTGCGAGGCGGGGATGGCTATGCCTCTTAACTTGATGGTAAGTGATGGTTTCACCGGTATTTGTGTAAATCCAAGCTCATCAGGTTGTTCA